ACGTCCTAACTTAACTTACCAACTACTAACTAAAGGTAAAGTAAGTAGGTAAGTATACCCCACCCCCCCCCCCCCCCCCGCGCCAAAAAAAAAAAGATTTACTTACAGGCCTTCTCATGTGATGAATTCCAAGATCTGAACATCTTTTGACTATAGACTGGAGGTCTATTCCCCAAAACTCAATATCTTTGTCCTGCTGCAAATTTAGTATAAAAGCGACATTCTCCTCCTTTTTCAAATGATCTACATCTTCAACTTTCTGGGGCTGGGAGCCAACAATGAGATTTTCTGTTATCAATGTGTAGTTCATTCCTGTAGTCAAAGGAATATAACTGTAAGGTGTCTATCAAAACTTCCTTGTATAGCCATCATCTTTTCGTGATAAATGTCGTAATTAACTATATAAAGAAACACAGGTATATCCTTATCAAAAAAAAAAAAAAAAAAGAAACACAGCTATACCAAAATGGATAATAATTCCTACTTATAGAAGAGAAAACTATTAATCATCACACATCAGATGCTCCTCTCAGACCATTTTTATGACAGAAGATGTAGATTTATTAAGCAAGGGGCTTAGTTTGGCTCGTCCCTCGTTTAATATTGACATTGCTTTTAAGTTACATTAATAATTTTTCAGATTCAACCTTGAGTAGGAGCTAAATTTGTGTTAGAAAGTCATCCTTAAAAAAAAAAAAGAAGAAGAAGAAGAAAGGCGATTTAACACTTTAACCTTCTTCTCTTTACTAAAGCGGCGACATAAACAGAAGCTTGGTCTACATAAAGTCATAAAACATACATAGCCTAGTATTAGAAAGCCAAAGAGTAGACCAAGATCCACTTTTCTAGGGGAATCTAATTCAGTTAAAATGCTAAAACCCCACCCCGTTCTAAAAGTTAAGTTACTAACACCTAAATCTTAACAGGTAAAACAAAAAGTGAGGTCCCCAATATGAAAAAGAGCATCTCTAGAGGCCGTAACTAGAAATTAATACAACTGATACATAATAGAGAACATAGTTGTTAGACTGGTAAATAAGCTAAAAAGATAAATCTGATTTTGGATCAGCCAAATACCAAGATCATGATGATATTCATATGGGTTCCTCATCATTCTTTTCATAGCTAAGTTGTATTCCTCCATCTTATTACTTGAGCTGCCTGACACCTTTTTGCTAGTATAATTTTCTTCAACTTCACTTTCAGAAAGTTTGCAAGAAATCTGGAACGACTTGTTGCTGAAATTGCATGCATTTTTCTTGCTTAAAGAAGGGAATAGAAATGGATTCTTTTCAAGTGGGGAGGTTGTTACAAGCCATGGATAACATAAGCAGCAGGTGGAGTTCCAGAGAGTTCCCATTTCTCTCTTTTCTTCTGATGGTCCAGCTCCTTCTTCCCATATTTTCTATGGTCACTATTTGACTCAAGTCTCAATGCCTCTGTTTCCACAGTCGTAGCAAAATTTGGGCCTAAAATGTATGGGCTTGCTTAAAGCTGGGCCTGAGCCCGTGCTAATAAAGCTCCCTTTTCATGGAGTTTGAACTAAATATTTCAAAGAATTTTTACATTCCTATGCCATATAGGAAACTATATTACCCTCAATGTTTAAGGTTTGATATAATTACATTTAGTATACCTAATTACCAATTATATACCATTAGTGATTTTTAAGGGTATTAATTACACTCCTAATTTAATGGTACCGTATATTCCTTCTAATACCACTCCCCCCACGTTTCTCTCTCCAATTCCCACACCTTCACCCACGTTTCCCTCCCACACCCACGATTTCTGTATCAGGATTGGATGTTGTTGCAAAGATTTGAGAATTCTCTCTACGTCTCTCTCTATCTCGCATTTCCAAATTTCAGTAATATAAGAGGAAAGGAAAAGAGAGCAGCAATTCCACCATTGACAGCCATTAAAAAGCTTTGAAGCTTTGAATTCTAATTTGAATTTTCAAAAAATATTATTTGTTTGGATTGGGTGTTGTTGTAAATAATTGGGAATATGGTTTGGAGTTTATATCTCAATTTTGAGGGGTTTTGGTGAAGATTAGACTTGGTTTTGGCTGAATTTCAGATTGAAACTCGAAGAAGAAGAAGAAGAAGAAGAAGAAGAAGAAGAAGAAGAAGACGTGACATACATTATATTTGCAGAAATTGTAGAAAAATTGTAGACTGTTGTTTATTTATTTTTCAGCTTTGTGTTTTTGTGTTAAAAGTTTGATGGGAGCTTGTTATTCCACTTCGTCCGTTCTGGAGCTAACTTGTGCAGAGGAAAAGATATTTTTTAAGTTATATATATTGTTATACCTTTAAATTCAAGAAGTATGGTTGTATTGTACTTAAAGAGGCTTGAATTTGTAGAATAGGTTGAATGTGAGAAATGAGTCAAATAAGACTCACAATGGCTTGTTTTTTACATTTAATCTACAACAAAACTACATATCATTTGAAAAATTAATAAGAAAATACGGAATTTCAATGTTTCTATAAATTATCTACAAAATATCTACAAATTGGGTACATTAAATTTTAATATCCCAATTCTCATTCAACTGTAGCATAATTGGGATTTTCAACATAATTGCGTTTTTTGCAGAAGATTTGTAGAAGTTTTAGTCGTTTTTGATTTGTGAAAACAGAAAACAAAGCATCTACAATCAGAATACAAATAATCTACAATTTATCTAAAAAATATCTACAAACTGGGTACATTGAATTTTAATATCCCAATTCCCATTCAATTGTAGCATAGTTGGGATTTTTGATATAATTGCGCTTTTTCAGAAAATTTGTAGAAGTTTTAGTCGTTTTTTATTTGTGAAAACAGAAAATAAAGCATCTACAATCAGAATACAAATAATCTACAATTTATCTACAAAATATCTACAAACTGGGTGCATATTTGGACTCGACATGCTTCCCCTGAAATGTATGTTTCACATTTTTGATACATATTTTTGTCCAAAACAATACTAAATCATCCACTTAAATACAATTTTTATACAATGTTGTTCAACTTTCATACAATAGGTAAATGAATTAAAAAAAAAAAACAGTCTACAATTTTTCTATAATTTCTGCAATATAATGTATGTCATGTCTTCTTCTTCTTCTTCTTTTTCTTCTTCTTCTTCTTCTTCGAGTTTCAATCCGAAATTCAGCCAAAACCAAGTCTAATCTTCACCAAAACCCCTCAAAATTGAGATATAAACTCCAAACCATATTCCCAATTATTTGTAGCAACACCCAATCCAAACAAATAATGATTTTTGAAAACTCAAATTTCAATTCAAAGCTTCAAAGCTTTTTAATGGCTGTCAATGGTGGAATTGCTACTCTCTTTTCCTTTGCTTTGTATTACTGAAATTTGGACATAATTGCGTTTGATGTAGAAGAATTGTAGAAGATTTAGTCGTTTTTGATTTGTGAAATCAGAAAAAAGGTTTGAACCACAGTGTATCGAAAAAGCAGAGATGCTAAATTTGAAACGAAACTGACGAAGAAGATTAATGTGCGTGATTTGCGTTGTGGAAGATCTGGAAGAATATTTAATTTCCTTTTTTTACCGCGCCTAAATAAGGAATCATAAAGCTACAGTGATTCCTTATTTAATGCATTGTATATATTATGTAGAAATACTATTAGCATGAATGCTAATATGCAAACTATGAACATATTTGGTAATATAGTTTCATATATGGTATATATACGAAAATTTTCCATATTTCAAACTCTGAAATTATTGAATAATTTGGTTAAAAGAAGAGTGATTACATATTTTTTTGTTATGTTTAAGGAGGATGAAGGAGAAGTAGGGACTGATTTGGCTACCTGTATACGGTTAAATCGGGACCACCCGATTTTACTGATAACCGAGACCAGGGGATGGATCGAGGGTCAGCCCTATAGCATATCACACCGAGACGCGAGGATAAGGTACCGAGTTCGGGATTCGAGGTACCCGTCGAGATCGAGACCAGTAATGATCGAGATCAAACAGCCGAGCACGACAGAAGATAGCATAACAACGAAAGGCGAGATATCCGTGACTGGTCGAAGATCATGGCGGAAATATCGGAACAGATCAAATCAAGGGCAGTTGTTTAGCTAATCATGGGATTTCCTTCTGTAATTAAAATTATACCGTAAATAGAATTCCTCTACTATATAAAGAGGGTCTTACCCATTTGTAATCATCTTACATTTACGCATATCAAAGCAATATATCATATTTTTATCTCTTACAAGCTCTGTTGTTCAGTTCATACTTTCAATAGCTTATTCAGTTGGTTCGAGGGTAATTAGCTCGAGGGCCATAATAGTTCATCACATTGGTTTGCTTCATTTTAATGTAATTTCTATCATTAATTCTTGTATTTACCATTTTGTGCCAAGTGCAACACCCTTAGCAATTACTTTGGACTAGCGAAACAAGCGGTTCTCAAGTGCTTGGGCTTTGATTCGGATCATGATAATTGTAACACCAGAAGACATGCTAAAGAAGATTAATGGAAAATGCTATATTTTAGTTCCTTGAGACTGTCTGCCTTTTGTACAAAGATCAAGGTTTTGGAAAGAGTAGCTGCTAGCCATTTTAAAAGTGTATTGTATGCCTCGAGATTTTGTTAAGTGCTGTGGAAATCATTGTTTTCTGCTGCTGCTGCTTATGCCGATTATGGTCACAATAAGATCAAAAATTCTTTTCTATTTGCGCATTGTTATAAAACAATAAAAGAACAAGAGTATTGCGGAGAAAAGTAGAGGGAGAGAATTCTTATTGATTTGGGATGAATTACAATGGAATAGAACCCTCTATTTATAGGGAGATGGTGACTTAGCCACCAAGTAATAAACCCTAGAATCTCTCTAAATATAGACATTCACCATAAATAAAATTCTATTTATGACACTCCCCCTTGAATGTCTATTCAACAGATAATGTGCCTCGTTAAAACCTTAACTAAAATAAAACCCAGTGGGAAAAAAATTCTAGAGAAGGAAAAAGAGTACACATATCTAACAATACGCCTTTTGGTTGCCTCATTAAAAATCTCGCAAGGAAAACTCAATGGGACAAAACCTTGTAAGGGAAAAAAGAGTACAACGCGTATTAACTCCCCCTGATGAGAGCATCAATTCACATCCTTGAGCCTTCGCATCCCAATCTTGTGCACTAGCTTCTTGAAGGTTGATATCGGCAAAGATTTGGTGAATAAATCCGCCATATTAACTCCAATGAATATGTTGCACCTTGAAAATCTTCGCTATCACATTATCATGCTTATAGTTATAGCAAGATACATTTGTGCACAAATTGCACTGAGGATATGCTACTTCAGGACCAAAAATTGTATATGCTTTAAGCGATTTAAATCCTTCAAGGATTGTCATATAAGTTAAGTCATATAAGTCATATAATAGGCTTTAGATGCATATCAAGTTTTCATGTCATGCTAGACAAATAAGATACCGAAAACTGATTGCACATATCATTGACTTTATACTTTCAAGTGTTTGAACTACAGTTCAAAACTACATGTCTTTCATATGAAACCAATTCTATTTGAATTATTTTTTCAGACTTAAGATCCTCATATATATATTTAGCGCTATCATAGATGTCGTCGACAAATATTTTATATCAGTTTTAATATTTTTCATAAAGATATAACATAGAAATCTCTTCATTCATATATTCAGGTACCTGAATCTCTCTTGAGATTTTATGAAGTGTTATGTCATATGGTCTTCTAGATCACTTGCCTCCTTTATTATGATCATTTTGATCATTTGCTCATCTCTTTATCAAGAAGTTTTATTTGAAACCGATTTGTCTATACGCTTTAAGCGTACCATAGACTTTGTCCTTCTAGGACTTATTCTAATAGGAGCATTTGCATTGAGAATATAGTTACTTTCTTTGGGTCAGCAGATGCGTCTGGCATGCTTTGCAATATATTGCAAATGAATTATCTTTTTATGAACTTTAAGTTCATATTATCTTATTCGAGGATCTAAATGTACAATTATAATTCATTCACGTAACTTTTACTTCAACTGTTATCATGTCTCCCCTCATTTTACGTAAAACTAAACTTGTTTTCTTCAACCTTTGTAGAACCCGTACTCTTTCGTTNTATACACCGCACATCAATAATAATAAGATGAAATTATTTGGTTCCTGACCCTGAACCACTTGTGAGGGGAGAATATAATACACTTTTGTATATAACATATATCAAACTGATATATATAACTTTATTCTCATAAGCAATAGTTTAACTATTAAGTGGAGGCACTCAATAATTATTTTGCTAAACTAACTGTGATGTAAACCAACTTATCAAGATAAACTTTCTTGAGTAAAAAATCTGGAAATTATGCTCTAAATCAAATTATTG